GATATTTTTAAATTACGTGGACTTATAACTATGTTAGTATTACTACAATAATACTATTATTAAATAATATTAATATACTATATTATTACTCAAATCATACAAACCGCTTTATCATTTTATGCATGTATTGTTTGTGATACTTAAATAAATCATCATAATTTTTTACATTTTCAAAGTTATCATTTAATTCTGACCAGCATGTGCTAATTACCACTTGCTTATAATACTGCTGAATAGATGATACAAATTGATTCATCCAATGTTTAAAAAGATTAATCTGTAAAAATAATTTGTAAAACTACATAAAATAATGCATATAATTGCTAAGCCATGTAACTGAATAATTAAAATGATTAATCATGATCAACATATTATAATTTATTTTATAGTATTTAAAACCAATGATACTATTTYGACATATTAAACAATCTCTAATATTCACTGGAAATTGGAATGCATACATTAATATTTTGTAAATGAAAATGTCTTCAAATGTCTAAAATTACCTTTCTAAATTGTAATCCTGTATCATTTTTATATATATTCAATATTTCCCTGGCTTTTAATAAACTCCATGAAACAAATTCTAGTTTATTGGCAAACAAGAATATTCTTCTATACTTCAATAATATTTTGTTAGACAGAATCATATTCATTGGCCACTCAGGTGAATAATTTAATTCTATACATTCCACGTCCTTAATACAAATTTTAAAATTATTCTGTAAGAAAAATATGATAATTGATTATTTTACTTACTGAAATATCAATAAATCCATTTAAAGATGGGATAAAAGTCATCTCTAATTTCAATTCATGTAGTTCATGTCTTGGAAAACTATCTTGAATAGCATCATCTACAATGGATTTTAACTTGACAGGATTGAAGATGTTAGTAGGTTGTTGTCTGTTTGCCAGAATACCATCAAATAGTGTATTACACATTTTAGATGAAAATGTCCAATTCATCAAAAAGAAACACTGGGATAAGTAATATAGATGTTCCATTAAATTTTTTTGGGCAAAGTACATGTCCAATATTTGTTTATCACAAACACTCTTTTGTATGCGAGCGGGTATTAGTATTGAATGTGGTATATAGTCTATCATATTAACAACATCAAATATTTTGCTGTTATACATTAATGAATCATTATAATCCAAAAAAAATCCATAAGGCTTATTAAAGTCATATATATTATTAACTGAAGTCCAATTAGGTATTTGAAACAATTCATAACTTTCATTGTTGGAATATATTTTACTGTCCATTAAGTTGGTTATATTTTCAATTTTATTACGATAACTATCTGTAAAACATATATTATATTACATGGATTGATTAGATAAATCTTAATAACTAACTTTCAGGGTACTTGCTTTGTTATAATTTAAGTTACAAGTGTACCTCTTCATCAAGAAAGTAATTTTAATATAACTGTTAAAAATGATAAATCATTGCAAAAAAAAAAAAAAAAAATGATTATGAGTGTAAACATTGAGTTAGTATCTATTTCTAAAAATATTTAATAATTTTGTTTATGTTACTAAGATTAATTAATTGTTTATTGGTAGCACAATATAAACATACTGATTCAAAAAGATATGAAAAAATTTACTTAAAATTGTGACTCTATGTGGCACGTAACCAAAAAGTATTATATATATATTTCTAGGAAATATTGGCAAAAATTAAAAATATTGAATAAAAATAAAAATAAAATGTTCACCAAAACTGTATGTGTAAAAAAAAATGTCTTAGGCCGTACACACCAAAAAAGCAAAATTGATCCGATCTGGTTGAAACATTTTGTTTCAAACAGTTAGGAACAAATTCTAATAAAACCGCACAAGTCAACATTTTTTTATACTACTCGTCAAGATGAGTTCTGATGATGTTGTTATAAAGCTTTTGTGACAATTTTTGTTAAATAGTGAAATAAATGAAAATAAACGTAAATGTAAAATTTGGATACACAATATAAATAAAAAACGTACAGAAAGTAACAGAATTTTTTATTTTTTAAATTTAAAAATCTCACTTGCATAAGTTCAACAACTTTTGACTTAATATTAAATGAAATTGGCAAAGCAATAGAATCACGAGACACAAACTTACGTGAAAGTATAGGTTCTACTGAAGAATTGTTATTACCTTGAGGCGAGTTCAAATAATAATACTATAATTATATACTAGAAATATTTATTATTCAAAGACCAATTAAAAAGATATCTACTGCAGCAATGGATATCCGAGAGAAGTTCATAAATTATTTCAATTCATGCATTGATTCAGTTCTATGGCCAAATATGTACAATGTATAAGTTTTATAACTTATCTTTAAATTTTAAAATAAATCAACTAAAAATATTAGATGTAATATTATATTATGATTTTTATAGTGTTAAAAAATAAAATATAGAATATAGTAATATACTACGACATGCTAATCATGTAAAAAGTAAAATTATTTTATTTTTATATTTTTAAAACTAACCGGATGTTTCCATTCCTATGCTTATTTCATTCATAATTTATCTTGGATGAGTTTTACTATGATCTTTATCAGTATAATGGTATATCGATTTTCTTAAGAGGATGCTACACACATATTTGTTGTCTATATCTTATAAGTGCATAACATAGCATATTTACACTGAGCAGATCATTTTTACTCCGTTAATTTAGAAATTAGAGTAAATTGACCTTTTATGAAACTTGATGATTAGAACAATATCAGTATTTGTAAATGGGTTTTTACGATAATTTGGTTTTAAGTGAGGTATGAGCATTTTTAATTTGTGCTTTTTTATATACACATAACTTTCAACAAAATTTAAGTATYGTAAAAAACCCACATACAAACACAGGTAATGTTCTTAACAATAAGTTTCATAATACATAAATTCACTCCAATTTAACTAATGAAGCTAAACGTGATCTGCTGAGTATAAATTTTTTATGTTATGCACTTGTAAGATGGAGATAGCAAATGCCAGTGTTACGTCTTATTAAAAAAAACACAAGATTGATAAACTTTTTTGGGTTGCATCCCATATTTAAATAATAACCCATGTTTTAATTATTTCCAAACAGCTCAAAGCAGTTTTGCTTTTTTAGTGTGCACTAGACCTGCCTAACTGTATTTTATATAACTAAATTTTGGGGAYTTTAAATTAATAATAATTACCAGTATTGTCTTTTGAATAATCAGGGCCAACAATTGATTCATATAGATAACAGTTTAACATTCTTTTTACACCATTTATATTTTGTAAACCAGGGTCATACTTAAAGTAAGTTGAAAATTGTTCATAAGCCTTCTGAGAATCAACAGCATCGAAACAACAAATTAAATTGGGTAAAAACTCATTCTAAAAAAAATGAAATTATACAATTATTAATTACAAATACTGCAAATAAAAATATAAACTTTTGTTTTCACTTACTAAATCGTTAAATTTTTTGAAGAAATTAATAGTTTTACCACAATGTAAAATATCAGTTTTATATTTATTTAAAAATAATGGAACTTCTATACTCTCATCTATTATAAAACGATTCCAATTTATACGGCTATCAGTTTCTTCATCGTCAATATCTGGTTTTACTTGAATGAACATGCCAGTTTCTTCATTTTTTAATATCCCTTTTAATGCCCAATTTGATAAAAATCTAGTAAAAAATCTCTTTATTAATAAAAAATTAACGAATAAAAAATTATAGAAGCAATATACTTGAAATATGCTAAGCAACAGGATTGAAAAATGTATAACAACATCTTCAGAAATAAATCACTTGGGAATCGATATTCCAATAAATAACCATGAAGTTTGTTCAGCATTTTTATACCACATGGTATATGATTTGGAATGACCATGCAACCCTGTGTTTTGATACAACATAAATTTGCTAATAACTGTAAGCGAGGAGTTATAACAGATAAACGACCAACAAGTGACAACAATGATTCATTTGATACAGCATAAATTGATCGTTCATAATCATCCAAAATATTAGATACAGAAAATATGAACGCCTGGGAATAAAACAAATTTAATTGAAATTACAAACTGTTAATAATTTAAATATTTTATTTATATTTATACTTTTATTATACTATTGCCACACATTTCCTTCCATTTGATTATTGTGCTACTGATTATTTTGTATAAATTAGAACACTCCAAAATTGGATCAATGGCAGACTCAAACATTTCTGGTGTTAAACCACTAATACTAATGTTTCCATTCTGTTTGTACATAAGTGTTTCCTAAAAATGTGACATAGTTTAAAATATTCTAATTAAGTTATAATTATTTATACTTTATACGAAAAAACTAAAATTAGTTAAGTAAAATAATAATTGTTTTATATGATTTGATACAGTTAATTTTGAATTTCCTGCACAACAAAATCCAAAGATTTTTATGTGAAATAAGGGATACTTGTCATAATATATTAATTAATAATAATAACAATAAACCATTATAAACTTTGTCTCATATAAGTGTGATGTTAAGCAGTTGGTTTGTGTATATGAAGTGGACAATGGGTATAATTAAAATGTGGTGAGTGGGCCCGCTCTCTAGAGTGAAACTATATTATTCCTACAACTGCCTAGCTTGCATTTTGCTAAAATGCACACAATAAAATATTTTTTCAGTTATGGCCAATTGTTAGAAACAAAAGCTGATGATGAAAACGAATATAGTTTGAGGCCCTGGAGGTATGGTGTGACCAAATTGGACATAATCAGTGGCCTCGTAAAGTTACACTTATATGAGAGCATAGGTTTAAAAAAATAATTATTATAAAAATATGATACTAACTTCGTCTACAAGAAAATAAGTTGTGCCCATATTGATCAACATTAGTTTAATATCTTGCATGATACATATGCTACTAATTTCTCTTTGAGGAAAATATGCTTTTAAGTTATGATCTCTTACATTTATTCCTGTAGCAATATACCAAAAACATAGAGCAGAACTAATCTTTTCTTTTCCTGCAATAGAACATTGTTCAATTGTTTTTGATTCTTTTACTTCCAAATCATTGCTATTCAATATTTCCTAAAAATATATAGAAATATTAAATGTGTGTATCGTTAATAAATGCATTTTATTCTTTTAATAATGGTATTATAAAATAATATTTTTAATATTTTGATAACTAAATTTATTTAATGAAGATATTTGAAATATTTTTAATTACCTTAGACTCATGTGTAAATTTATCATCTGCATGTGTTTCTTCTTTTTTTGAATTATCCCTAAAACATACCATAATCAACACGGATATAATAATGGACAATACACAATACATAACAAATAAACGAGTCATTACCTATTATTAATTTCTAAATGTTGTGTACAATCAGTGTACTGAAAATCTGATAGACTAAATACACTTGTAYAATTACTATAAAACAAAATCATAAAATATAAAAACAAATAAAAATATAAATCATACATAAAATTAGTGCACTAATGTTCAAATTATTAATTTAAATATTATAAATTTATAAATGATACCAAATAAATCCAGATAACCTTTTACAATATTTTTACAATTATTCTGCCACAATGAAAACAAAAAATCTAAGCATAAATCTTAAAACTTCATGCTTTGAGTTACCATACATACAAAAAAATGACACTTACATCACAATCTATTGTCCAAGTTTTCAAAGCTCAGTATTCATACAGAACTAACTTCCTGTTTACAAACTTTTTCTTTAATTATGACGGGTCATAAAGAAGACCATAGCTAGGCATTGACAAGAAGGCATTTGCCAGGGGCGCTATTTCATCGAATGGTATTCTCAATTTAAATTGATAATTTACAAAACTCAAAATATCTATTGTTTATTTTAAGTGTAAGTAATTGGATGAAGGTGCAAAAATTGGGTTTTCTGCCAGAAGCGTTACTGATTCTTACTATGGTTCTGGTCATAGTTATCCAAGTATGAGGTCCTTAAGAAAAATCAAACTTCTCTATCTTAAACTTACAGTGTTAATACTAATGCTCTTTACTCAGTCACAAGCCAAACACTTCACTTCAACTTACACATTCATATTGAGTAGGAGACACTTAGCTGCTTATACAGTCGCTACAATTAATATCTGTGATTTTTTGCGTTTATATATATATTTAATTCCCCCCAACAAAATGGTTAGGTTAGGATAGGCCAGTAGGTAAATTTTTCTCATGTAATAACAGTTACTATTATTCTTATAACATCCAATTATTATACGTTTAATGTTTATACAGGATGATT